GACAGAACTGCGTTGATGTCTAACAGGCCCCTGAGTTATCTGAATTTGAATTTAGTAGGCTTTAGGATGGGCGGCTGAGAAGGGTGGAGATCAGTGTGGACGGTACTTAAGTCTACACAGACCAAGGGGAGCTGTGAACCGAGGCTGTTCTTAACGGGACCACTTCTCAAGGGGGCCGGCGAGTTGCTCTGTCTCCTTCAGCCTCAGTGTTCTTGACTCCTGAATGGGGTTGATTAGTGCCTGCTTTGAGGGCTTGGTATGAGGTTTAAGCGAGAAAATGGTTGGGAAGCAAACTGTGGAACCCACAGGAGTGACAAAACAGAGGGAGCTATTTTCGTGCTGTGTCTAACTAACCTCCCAGAGGAGAGCTTTTCACCTAATTATTGGCTCCCCCTTAAAAGCACAGTAAATCTCTTAACTTCTCCATGCTTCAGGTCTTTTTCCACCCATTAAGTAGGCGTTAACCAACTAAAGCAGAAAGGCACAGACTTGCAGCAGGCACGTGACAAAGCCCAGCAAGAAGGAAACTGGGCCCTTCCTTTCCAAGGCTGGCTCCAAATCCAGGCCTCCGGGCACGGGAAACACCAGCGGGGTGGGCACTGTGTGATTCTTGCTGAACACTTAGGAAATCGCACCTCATTGCTGGGGTTATTTGCCAGATATCCTGACAGCTGCCAGGCTCTGGCCAGCTGCTGCAGCTCCTCCGCTGTGTATAGGAAACACTCTACCCTACTTCTGGGAAAAAGAGCCTTGTGATTGGGCCTGGAAAGGGTGAGCTCTGGTCCTCACCACTTATTTTTCGAAGGTCCTGTTTTGAGTTCACTTTATGGTGCTGCCAGCTGAAATCTCTTTCAGCGTCTGCCTGTTGTCAGCACCTTCTCTTGTACTGTCTCCAAGGGCATCTTGTCCTTTACACGCAGCTGTTTCCTAAGCCACAGCCAACCCTGCTACCGATGGTGGCCATGGCGTGTCTTCCAAGACCCTAAGGTTCAGCAACAGTTCCATCTTAATGCAAAAATTAGAAAATGATTTTGAGCACAAATGAGTCTTTCCCTTGCTACCTAATTATTGCTACTAGAAATGAGTTAGTTATTCTATCTGTGGATTCAATGAGCTTATGTGAAGAGATTTTTATATTGTTCTGCGTCACAATGGTAATGGTAGCAATCCATCCTTACTTGGAAGGAACCGTAACAAAGAACCTAAAACAAAACAAAACAACAAACAAGCAAAAACCAGTTCCTTAGAAAAAAAACAAGTCTTCCACTTGAGCTTTCAATTTTAAAACTACTTTAAACATATATATTATTACAAATGTTCATGCTAAATAAAAGTAGGATAATTGTTTATCTATAGTGTTGCTTCAGGCTTCAAACCTTTTCTTCTATTTAAAAAAATGTTTTTATGTGCTTTGGTGTTTTACCTGCGTGAGGGTGTCATGTACCCTGGAACTGGAGTTACAGACAGCTGTGAGCTGCCATATGAGTGCTGGGAATTGAAACTGGGTTCTCTGCAAGAACACAGTGCTCTTAACCACTGAGCTATCTCTCTAGCTCCAAGACCTTTAGTTAAGTAGTAATAGCATTGACTTTCTCAAGAGCATATCTGGCTTGCTTCCTTCCTTTTTTTTTTTTTTTTTTTTTTCCCAGCCCTGGGGTGTCTGGAACTTGCTATGCATACCAGGCTGGCCTGAACCTCCCAGAGATCTGCTCACTTTTGCTTCCCAGTGCAAAGATTAAAGATGTGCACCACCGTGCCTCGCCTTCTGGATTTTGTTTATGCATTGTAATAGTCGGAAAGAGAACTGAGTATATATTTCACAATTAGGTGACTCTACTGTAGCATGCAGTTGGAAAAAACTATTTGCCAGTCATTAGGGCCTTTGGCTTGTCCCTTCCTGCTTATGTGACCTAAGGCATATAATTTAACCTAGCTGATCCTCGGTGTCCACTTCTGTGATGTTGGTCTAATGATTTTACTTCACAGGTTACGGTGAAGATCACAGTAACTGTTGCAGAAGGAAGAGTTAATAGGCAAATCTGATAATACTATGAGCCCTCCTGTCTGGGCTAAGTGGCTTATAGATTCTCCTGCCATCAACGTGCAAGCCATGCCACAGTAAAAGTGGCAAGCAAGGTGCATGTCTTGGCTTGTCTAGGTGACTTCCTTTACTTAGTGTCTAAATGGTAGGATGGGCTAGGATAGTCAAGGAAAATGGAGAGGGTGCCAGCCAACACCCGTAAAGGGTTAGGACACAGATGCTGGCAAGTCAGAGCAGCCAGAGCAGGAAGCATGCCTGGGCTGCTACAACCGGTGGGGAGACTTTCACAGAGACCTACTTAAGATTAGGAGCTTTACTCTGATCTGCACAAGAGGAGGACGCTGCAGATAGAAGCAAAACCCCAGCAGCTATGGATAAGAAGACGTGAAGAAATGCACTGAGGAGCTGCTCACTCCTGGCTGTTGAAGAACATGATAGCCCCTCTGCCTGAGAACACAGGACAAGAACCTGAGCTTACACATGCCTGGATTTGGGTAGAGGTGGGGGTAGAGGCTCAGATTGGGTATACCCTCCCTGTCCCAAGTCATGGCCAAGGGAAGACTAGGTAAGTGGCTGGGGCAGATCTGAGCAGGACCTAAACAGAAGGCATTAGAGAATTCTGGGCAGTAGTTCCTGTCAGTCTGACAGCAGAAGAGAGGAGCTGGTAGAAGACGGAAGAGTGGGGCTAAGAGGGCAGTGAGCGGCTTTCATGCTCAGCTGAGCCCTCAGAGAAGCAATGAGGCTGGAGGTAAAAGCAGCGGATCCAAGATCTTCAGAACGTAGAACCCGTCACACTCAGCAGTATTTTTAAAATGCTGTGTGCATGGATGAGGACACAGAATGGAAGAGAGGTAGAATATGGTTGGTCCCTTGTACTAAGCTTCAGTGACTGTGATGTGGAGTAGAAAGAGGCAGACAGACTGCTACACTCTGGCTCCAGCTGATTTGTGGAAACTGCCCAGAAGGCAGCTGGATAAAGGACTACAGCTTGGAGGAGACACCTGGGAAGGATGCTTACATGTGAGGGAGACCTCACTCAGCACCTGGGGAAAGCCTGAATCCATGGATGGTTTGAGGCTGGCTAGAGAGGATTTGAGTAGGACAAGAAGCTAGTAGCAGAGTCACAAACAGCACCAAGGAAGATGGCAGTGAGTTGGAGATGACGAACTCTCAATACAAGAAACCAGAGTAACAAGAGCCCGGAGTTTAGTACAAGGGAGTTGGAAGTAGAAAACTGCAGAAAACCTAAGCCATATACGGGGCTAGGAAGTGGTTATTTTATCAACTTGAATGTCAGCTACTCTTAGAGAGGCTCCTTGTCTGGGGCCAGTTAGAGTCAACATCTTTTTCCATCCCTTTTCAAAACAGCTTCATTTATAACTGTTTATCCATTTCCACGCTGATTTGTTTCAGATCTGCCTCTCCAAATAGACTGTAAGCTACAAGAGTGCCAGGATGGCCGTGGTCCCTCCACATTTTAAGTACTTGGCTCAGTGGGCGGCACAGGCACAGATTAGGTCCTCAGATTTTCATGGTTGTGAGTGAGTTCACTGGAATGGAAGCCGGGTTGCAGGGGCTTGAGGTGTAAGCAGGAAGTTAGAAAACACAATCCAGAAACTTGACTGTGAAGGTCGAAAGAGTACTTAGAAGCCAGAGAGAGGATGGATGAATAAAGAGGGTGGTGTGGTTTGTTGGCATGTGGAAATGAAGAGATTTGCATGTGTTTGTAGCAGGAAAAGCTCATGGAGCAGGATGGGAGGAAGGGCGGGACCAGGACCTGGCCAATGGCAGGAAGACAAGTGGGTTCCGTGGGAGGCGGCATGGGGGCAGGCCATACACTTGGCAACCTGGTATGGTAAGGAAAAAGTAGTAGTCTCTGGTTTCTCTGTAACTTGAGAGGGAGGGAAGCTAAGACCAGCTTAAAGGGAACAATGAAGTTTTGGATTTCCTGGCTAGGAATGGGAAGAGGACTGACTAGAAGGCAGGCCGTGAGGGCGGGGCTGTTTCTCTCTGGAATCCTCACCCCCAGCTTAGCACCTGACTCATGGTGAATGTAGAAAGGAATGGAATGTTCTGTGCTGCATACTGGTGGACCCCAACACAAAAATGGCAGTGGAAGGGGAGGAGGAAAACGTGGTCTAAAACAAACGAACACAGTGATTATCCCACTCCTGTGTGTGACCAGATAGTTCTTAGTAGAGAAATAGACCAGATAGTTTACATAGTAGAAGCTGGGATGCTGGAAGGCTCTGGAAAGCGGGGCTAAAACAGCCCCAGCCGTACTTGAGAACTCATCTGCGGCTGTTGGCTGGGTCCCTGAGTTCTCCCAACAAGGCCTCTTCATGAAGCCGGTTGGCTTCCTCAGGATGGAAGCAGACTTCTGGAAAGGACTGACTTGTGTTGTCGAAGCCATGGTTCTGTCAACCTTTGTTTCTCCATCCCATACAGACCTAAGCCTGACTAGCATGACCAATGAAGAGGAAGCAAGCAGAACTCACGGCTTTTAGAACAGCCAAGGAAAACAGTGTGCCTGAGTCAGCGTTTCTATTTCTGGCAAACACATCTCCCCCTCTTCTTATAAACATTTGGTAACGTGTAATTGATTCTCCTAAGATGGAACTCACTGACATTTCCTATCAACATTGATAATTAAACATACATATTGTCTTAGCAATAGTGAAGGTGATGAATTAAAAGCAAATCATCATAAAGCCACGTTTCAGTGCAGACTTGCTTGACCAGTGGGTGATATTACAGAGCTGCCTGAAGCTGCTCCCATGGAGAAAGAACATGCTTGCATTGGGGGGACTGTGATGATAATATATGAGCATCCAGGGGAGACCCCCAACAAAGAAGGTGGGGTAGAGATCTGTGAACGGGCCCACACCTAACAGATGGTTTGTCATCTCTGTCCATTAAAGCGGCAGTAAAACCCTCAATGGTCACAACCAAGACTGACCTGTGGTTTTGCAAAGTGAAGGCAGCAGCCTCTCCCGCCTGCGCCCCTCATCTTGTGAAGTAGGAACCCCGAGCCCTCTGCTTGCCCAGCGACTATCAGAAGCAGCCCTGAACCTTGTTCTCGTGCAGAGGCCAAGCCACCTGGCACCAGAGGCTTTTTATGTCATTTCCTGCTCAGATATCCAGGTCAGCTGTGCCGAAGTATCTCACGGCTAGCAATATCAGATTTAACAAATAAAAATACAGTCTTCCTAGTTAAACTTGGATTTCAGATGAACTATGAACTCTGAGCCTTATTATAAAAATAACTTGCAAATAAAACAGCACACACTGAAATTAACCCGAAGGATGGACACCTCAGTGAGCTTCTATAATGATAGCCATTCAGAAGCCGTGGAGTTTCACTTTGGATTTTACACTTTTTTTTTTTAAACATAGAATATATTTTATGTACTTATTCACTACCAAAAACAAAAAGTCCCTGACAGAGTTAGAACTAGAAATAATTAATGTTATATCCTCTTTTGTACCTTGTGCGCATTGCTTCCATTCAGTGGGCATTGTTTTAATGTATGTTTAAAAGGTTGCATGGGGCCTATTTTACATTAAAAAATTATCTGTTGCTTACCTAATATTTGAATGTGGCTGGACATCCTGGATGTTACCTGTCAACCTTATTCAAAACACCGGTCACCACCCACCCCCAAAAAGAGAAAGAATGTTCGATCCCTGAACTATAATATTTGCAATCAGAGAAGGCTCTCAAATAGCAATTCTTCAGCATTTGAGGAAAAACCAGCCTCATTCCCATAATTTCTTCTGTCAACAATTCATGTATAGAACTTAGTTTGTAGTGCATGAGTTAAAGTCTCCATTGTCTTAATGCTGGGAAGGAATATCTGCTTTGAAAGCCACGCCCAGGGATAGCAATATGCTTTCATAACCACATAGGTAGTGATTGAGGCACGTCCCACACATAACCTGAGCCTTCTGCTAAGCTCTGAATGCACCTAGTAATGTCTGTCCAAAATTGTGGGCAAAAGCCCCAAGCCAATGGGACAGACACCATGGGCAGCATGGTGCAAGTCCCTAACTCTAGTTCTGAGAATGTGGTTCCCAGAACAGTAGCTGTAGCATATTTTATAAATATAAAATCTTTAATTCTACCCAGTTTACTACATCAGGAGGTTTAACAATAGCGTAGCATATTTTATAATTATAAATTCTTTAATTCTACCCAATTTACTAAATCAGGTTTAACAGTGGCACACCACATTTCTGTGTTTGACATGATTGTGTGAAATGATGGGTTGATAAACACTGTTGCAGAACACTGACCCACTGCCTGGCCTGGAAGTTGATCTGTATGTCACAGAGAGAGGGGCAGGAGGGAGAGGGGGCATGTTTTCACAGATTGCTCAGAACCTGGCAGCATGAGCGTGGCTTGTGGGCAAAGGTGACACCGTGGAGGAGATAGTGTGGCTTCATTCCAGTGAAGGTCCGGAAAGAACAGCAGTCCCTGTCACCTCCTCTGCTGCTGATCCAGACCACTGCAAACGCCAACCTATGGCCTAGACATCTGGACTGCCACAAAGACCATGAGCCTTCTAGTAAAGAGGGTACAACTGCACTCAGGAGGCCTCTTGGTCCCCCACTAGGAATCCTAAAAAGAATAGCATTAAAAAAAAAAATCTGTTCTTCCGGCCACATGAAATCTCACCAAGGAAGTAGCCAGCTCTGGATGAGACACTTATGGAATTGGACTTTCTAGGCCCAGCTGCTGGCAACAGGCAGGAGCTGGGGACACTTAGGTTTCTGCCCTTGGTGTAATCCTGTCAGTCTGAGGAAGCCTGAGTTCTGGGAGGAAAGGAAATGCATCTTAGTGTGGCTTTAGCATGGAAAATGTTGATTCTCTCATGTCCTTGATGACTCTGTGGTGTCTAAACCATGCACAAAAATGTTTTGGCTTATACTTAAAAGCAGGAGAGCTATACCCCTCCCTGCTTGCCCCCCCACACACACACACATAGTCCTCCTTGGCATACTGTAGTGGGCAATGCTGAAGGCCTCCTGGCTGACAGTGAAAACCTGCTGTCCAAGCATCCATCAGACCCACAGCCTCCCCTCACAATTATCCCATCAGCTTCAGCCCCAGGAAAATAAACAAGCCACAAACGGCTTCTAGAAGCAGTTGTCCTAGCCAGAACCACCTCATAGACAGTGGTCTGGCAATTTGGGGTTTCCCTGTGCTATCTACAAAAGAGATCACATTTCTGACCACCCCTCCTGTGGTTGGGCTGGTCCCTCTCTTTGAAGATGGTAATTTCTGAACACTGGCATCTCCATTTTCTTTCCTCTTTGTTTAGCCCGGGGAAACTTAAAGTCTCTTAAGTCCAAGTCATAGATACCGATTGCCCTCTCGAGCTTCTGAACAAAGAGTTGGGCTGGCTCTGGGGAGGGCTTCCAGGAAGCAGGTTTTATGCTGACTCGGCTGATGTGGCTGGTGCCCACAACTCCACATTTGCTCCTCTGTGAAGCTGTCTCCTAAGGATGACAGGTCAGCCCTCATGTGATGATTATTAAGGCTGCTGAGTGTCTGGGCATCTTCTAAAACACGTTTCTAAAAATAACTTTTGAGGGCTGGAAAGATGGCTCAGCAGTTAAGAGCACACTGACTGCTCTTCCAAAGGACCCGGGTTTATTCCCAGCATCCACGTGGCAGCTCACAACTGTCTGTAACTCTAAGATCTGACACCCTTACATGGACATACATGCAGGCAAAACACCAATGCAAATTTTAAAAAAAAATTTTGATAGGTTGTATTAAAATTAATATTATTTCCAACTTGACTTTGAATGGTCTTATGTTTATTCACAACTGGCACTCCTGGGATGAAAACATTCATTGGCACAGGTTCCTCCGGAAAGTATCACTTCCCCAGGGCATCAAGCGATCAGCCCTTCTGAGACAAGGATGCCACAATCTTGTCAATGGCTCGGTGCCTACTCTTCCTTGTCCATCATGGCTTTGTGCCATCAGGTCCTGTAAGACAAACCTTGTCTTACTTGCTATCTTTTGTAGCTGGGTTTCCTGTGACATGGAGAAAGAAAGTCAAAGGACAAAAATATGTTCCAGTGTCAAGCTCTGTCTGCGGCACTGTCCTGTCGCACGGGTCTGCAGCCCCAAAGGCTGCCCTTTCACAGAAGCAAGCCTTCAGGTGTTTCTCTCTCAGCCAGGGGTGAGTGATGCTGGAAAGGGGGACCCAATGCAGCAGAGCCAGAGCCAAAGGCAAAGAATTCGGAACTGCAGTGTGCAAAGGAGGCCCCCACCCAGGCAGCGTGCACCGCTTACATCCACAGCCCACTCCCCCGTGGGCTGGCACAATGTGTGTGTGCCATCCAGGTCCTTTCACCTAGGGACAGACTGCTTTAGTGCTCAAGCCTTTAAACTAGGATCAGGTGTTTCCTGTTGAGGCCAAAACACAGGGTAACAAAGGCGTCTTTGGCGTTCTGGCAGGGGAACGCTGCTGGCATGGCTTGCCCATCTCCCTGCTGAGGGACTCTGCTCCATCTTTCTGTCTCTCCTTCCTTCCTTTCCTTGTACCGTGCGATAAACAGACTACGCATTATCTTCCGTTTCACCTTGAATGAGCTCTCTTATCGCCCATATCCATGTCACTGACATTCGATTCTGAACTATGCCAACAGTGATCTTTTTTTTTTAAAGACACACACACAAACACAGAGAAAGGCGGGGTTTGCGGGGGCGGGGGGGGGGCGGGACTTTCCTTGGGAGAAAAGATAATGGAAATACACAGAGTCATTGTTGGCAGTGTCCGTAGGTGCCTCCCAGAAAGGTGACCCGACATCATGATGTTTTTTGTTACCTCCAGGAGCAGAGGTGGGGGTAAGCTGAGTCCTTTTGGGATACTATGTACATTGGCTAACATGGTGCCCCTTAATTGAAAGGTTTTTTGTTTTTTGTTTTTGGCCTGATACCAATGATGACAATGTGAGCTAATGAGCTGGGCTCCCTGTCCATGCTTCCTTCATCAATCAGAACCATATTTTGCTCATTTGTGGTCTCAGGCAACCTGGTGCTGAGATGTACAGCATCCTCTGCTTTAGGCCTAATGGAGTAGTTCTCAAGTGACAGACATCGCCAGTTCCAGCACCTAGGCTCCACTTTCCAGAAGCTAGTCTGGACTAGTTCTTGAGATATGAAGCTTGACTTTGTAAATAAAGTGAACTCCCATCCCAGGAGTGTCTATGATTATTGTCCCTTAACCTGCCATTTGATGGAAAGCCCCTGGGCTCTGGAGTCACACAGGTCTCACTTCCACACCTGGTACCACAGCTCACTGACCGGGTTTGGAAAGTCACTGACCTCTTTGGAAGTCACTATCCTGTCCCTAAACTAGAGGAAATAATAGCCATCTTGTGAGGATTTGATCGCCTAATTTGCATTAAATTCCAGACATTCACTAACCATTGCCTTTCCTGGGCTTTATTCAGTCTAATGATCTATTCTATACTATTGGATTCTCTGCTCTGTTATTTAAACTCCAACTTTGTCAATCAACAATGAACAGGCAGGACACAGTGATTAGGAAGAGTTTCCACATAACCCCTCAGGTTAAGAGAGGCTTGGAACCCTTCCTGAATTTGATAGTAATTATGTTTCTTTCCATCTGTGGCAGCTGGCTCCCGACTATATTTCCAAGCCAGACCTCTCCTCTTAACATCAAATCCAATGTGTCATGTGATCCTAGTGGCTTCTCAGCTAGATGTCTAGTTGGCAACTCAAGCCTCAGTATCACAGAAGGTCCTGATCTTCCCATAACAAGCCCCCCACTTCCCATCTAAATCAGCAGCAGTGGGGGGTTCTCACCACTGCTCAGGCCTGACCTTAGACATGTTCTGTGTGCTTCTCATGTCTATATGCAATCAGCCAGCAGATGCTGCTGTTGGCTCAACACTCATCAGCACCCACACACCACGCACCTCTGCAGGCCACTGTCTAACGGCATCATGCTCATCTCCCCGGACCATCTACCATTGCTCCTGGTAGACGCTCTCATTTTCCCATGCCTGTTTCTCCT